CGCCTCTTGCTCCCAGCTCCACACACTCGCCCCACAAACTGAAGTGAGCTCCTTTTAAAACCCAGGTGGCCTGATTAGCCTGCCTTAATTGATTCTAGCAGCTTCTTCTTAATTGGCTCCAGGTGTCCTAATTAGCTTACCTGCCTTAACTGGTGCTAGCAGGTTCCTGATTACTCTAGTGCAGCCCCTTCTCTAGTCACTCAGGGAACAGAAAACTACTCATCCGGTGACCAGTATATTCGCCCTCTACCAGACTCCTGTACCTCACTGGTCTGGGTCTGTCACAATATATTAACCTTACAGTCACTGTATACTTTATAATACTGGTGGTAAATTAGGATCTGGTATAATATGCTGGTTGCAGAGGTGTGGTGAAAGAGATGCTAGCCCCAGCCACTAAGGTCACCCAATTCCCAGAAGCACTCAATGGAAGAGGGGCTTGTATGGTGCCATCCTGAGGTTGTAATTAACCCATACTCCCTTTGAATCAGGCCAAACGTTTTCACACTGTTGTGGAGAGAGCAAGGAATGCTGTTTCAATGTTCACAGAGTTCCCCATGTGGTTTGCTGATTGGAGATACTTTAGCACAGCTTCATTTATACATACTATTACTTTTTATTTTCAAATGTCCACCTTTTTGGAGATAGTCCTACCAGGGTCAATATAGCCCAGTGAAAACAATTAACAGAAATCAGATAGCAAATGATATTCTGTCTTCCAGTAGTTGTATACCGTGTATAAACAGAAGGGAGTAAGTATAACTTCCTTTTGATATTTGAAGTTCTTTTAGGAACATTTGCCAGTTTATGTTTATTAAACAGGCTAGCAAATTTGTTAGTAATTTTATAATTTTCAACTATCAAAATCCTGTTTCAATTACATTTTTAAAGAATTCATTGTACAAATGCCAGATGTCAACTGCCAAAGAGCAGTCCTAGTGACAAAACATTCTTGCCAGCATAAAACGTTAAAATAATGGAAATAAATTTAAAACTAATACAAAAATATATCTGAAATTCCCCAGAAATCACCTAGAAATTATTTAAAAATAATATCCTCTATGAAACACAGTCTCAATTCATGCTACTTTATAGCCAAATTCTCCATTTGCTCCAATCATATTAACGGGTGTAAGTCAGCACAGAATTTGGACCTTCATCACCAAAATCCAGCCTTTGGTTAGTTGGTAAGATTTAGAATGGATGATAACATCATTTATAAAAAGGTATGATTTAAAATGGCAGTTATTTATGTAGATATTTTTCCAAACTCATTTTATTATTATTTATTATTTTAAAAATCATAATAAAAGGAGTTTGGAAAAATCTGACTTCAAGAAAGTGACTGCACAGGAAAAAAAGTGGAGGACTCCTTTAGAAAACCTTTACTTCTTAGTGAACCCAGACATGACAAGGAAATCTCTCAGACAAGAGGCCACATCTACACTACCTGCCGTATTGGCGGGTAGTAATCAATCTATCGGGGATCGATTTATCACATCTCGTCTAGACGCGATAAATCGATCCCTGAATCGACGCCCGTACTCCACCTCGGCAGGAGGAGTAAGCGAAGTCAACGGGGGAGCCGCGGCGGTCGACTTGCCGCCGTGAGGATGGCCAGGTAAGTCAAACTAAGATACTTCGACTTCAGTTACGTGAATAGCATAACTGAAGTTGTGTATCTTAGATCGATCCCCCACTCCCCAGTGTAGACCAGCCCAGAGAGATTAAAACCTGGGCATCCAGAGAAGGAAAGTCTGTATAGAAGCAGGAAGGGAACAGCATCACATGGCATCCAGAGCCATCATTCCACAAAGGGCCATAGTGGTAGGTAACATAGCTCAAAAAATGGATGGCACTGGACACAGTACCAAATTCAGCACATCTCCCAGGAAGTATTTGCCAACAGGACTCCCACGGAGCCCCAGCAACAACTTAAAGCTGCCCTTCCATGGAGAAATTACTGGGTGAAGGCAGCAGTGCAAATGTCACCTATCCAGTGGAGTGAATGAAGTCTATAGGGGTGCATCTGAGACATCACAGTCTATTCCCGGAGCCATGACTGTGATGTTACAAACTCCTTGTTGACTAACTGCAGACTCAAACAGAAGGCGGCAATGAGCTAAAATGAAGATATCCCAAATATTCTTTATAATACATACAGCAATACTGTAGAGTAATGGTCCAAAACACTACAGCTTACAAAAGGGATGCTGCAAAATTTGGGGATATTCATTATAAGCATACTCTGATATCTAGATGAAATGGCAAAGAAAATGATGGAAAACATGAGCGAGAAATAAAGGTTCATATTGTTACTATGATACTTTAAAATGTTCTCCACTTTATATATTTCAGACCTGATCCAATGCCCATTGCAGTCAATGGAAACACTCCCTTTGCCTTTAGTAGGCATTGGATCAGGCCCTTAAATAGGAAAATGGTAGATCTGCATAACCTGTACTGTAAATTTATACAGATCATCTGAAAAAACAAGACTCAGACTGCACTGCAGATTGTTTTTAGTGCCAGACTAGTGCTTCCCACAGCTCCCATTGGCCGGGAACGGTAAACCGCGGCCACTGGGAGTTGCAGGGGGCCATGCCTGCAGACTGTAAACGTAAACAAAATGTCTCACGGCCCACCAGCGGATTACCCTGATGGGCTGCATGCTGAAGGTGGCCAACCCCTGCAATAGAGTTCCTCCCTGCAGAACCAAGAGGAGAAGTTTGTTCTGTGCCTCTGAAGTTATGTTGTCCCTATTTCCCGAAACCACAAACTACTGAAATTTTAAAGCAACTTAAAAGAGAGTTCCTTAGAGAGACAGTCTACCCTTAATCCATAGTGGCCTCAACAGGAACTCTATGTGAGCTCTCCCAAACCTCACCAACTGAGCCAAACTGTGTGACAAGGAGGCCCTCACTTTTACAAATACCAAGTGCAATGGCCTAACAAGATTCTACCATCCACAAGAGAGCTCTTGCTGCAGAGACATAGTGTAGTTATCTAGGAGAAGAAGGGTGAAATGCTTTCTTCTTCATCGCCAGCATCTACCTAAAGCATGAAGTTGCCTTCATGAAGGAGACAGTAACACAGGATATTAGCTTGTTGGAGGTGATATATGAGGGGGGACCTAGGATTTCATCAACTTCTTCATTGTGGCATGACTTCCCTTTCTGTTATAAACCTCTCCTCTCCTCTCACACAGCAGCTGCAGCAACCATGTTTTCCTTTCTTCCACTGGGACAGTGACAGGTAGCTTTTCCCGCAACATGACAGCCTTCTGCCTGGTCACTACAAAAACACAAACAAACCCATGCAGCCTAAAATAGGAAGTCTATATCTGGAATTCTGAACTTTAATTATGCTTCAGGGTAGATAAAAAAGCACACGAGGGAGCTTTTAGTGCACTGCAGCAGGGTCTACGTGGACATTTAGTGTGCGTCAGGTTAGCGGGCGATAGATTCACAGGCCAGCTCGTTGTGAGCTAAGTGTTCATGTAGATAAGCCTTTAGAAATTTATGGGTAGAGATATTACTGGGTCCAGCAATATTCCTTATTCTTAAATAGGGAATACAGCTAGAACTGGTTAATAGTCCCAGTACCAGAATGAAGATTTTAAGTGTACCTTGGGCCTCCCTGGTTCCCTCAGCATTTTATAGGAGATCACTCAGGATTCAGTATGATAGATTTCAAATGTCAGGAAGGACCCATAGAGATCATTAGGAAAAGATTTTTTAATAAAAACAGAGAGGGAATGGGATGTCCCCCGTGTACAAGACAATTGCTGAGAATCCCATCGGTAGCTCCAAGCCATAAGGTATGAACCACCATACTAAGTTTTCCAGTGAAGATACTGATTTTCTCATGACCCTGATCAGATTATTTCCCCAAAGCATGGGAGAACAGAATTCCAAACTGTTTCACGTTCCTACAGACAGCAATTTCTCAAGAAATATTTGGCAGTCCTGACATGTACAATAAAACGACAGTTATCTATTCTGGTCCAAGAGAAAAACAGCTTAATAACATTTGCTACAACTTGCAATAAAGAAACTATTTGATTCTCTGAAATCCTTCCTTACTGAATACCCTTGCATAAATAAAATGAACAGGTCCAAGATGAAAGAATTACCAGGTTATGCAGCATTCTATCAGATTTGTTGATTGTATCTTCTTAATATAGACAAAGATAAAGCAAAATATAGAACCCAGTCAAATTTGCTCATACAAATTTCTAAAACACTATGTAAGCCAAATAATCTCCCACCTTCTTTTAGGACTGTAAACCTAAATAATGATGCCCATTTCATGTTCTGGAATATTAATCTTTAAAATGATTTTATTCTGAAAGGTACAGTTAAAAATTTCAGAAGTGTGAAGACTTCTCTGTTTCTGTCCTACACAGACATTTGAGGGATTTTTTAAACCATTATTTCTATATTGCAGGCAGCTGACACTAAAAATAAAAACATCATCAAAGCATGATAGGACATACCCCCCACCCCCACCCCCCAACCCCCCAAACCAAAGCGTTGCCTGTTTGGAACTAATATGCATAGCATAGGAAATACTTGTGGCAAGCCAATGTCTGTTCTCGTTTTTTGCTGTTTTGACAGTTTGTAGCTGCTAGTGATGGAGTAGAGAGCAACAAGGATGCAGATCTGAATTTAAAAGGCTAATCTTGCAGCCGAAATTGCAACAAAGATGACGTTCCAATATTTTATTTTTGTCACAGTCCTAAAAATAAGAGTACTAATTTACTCGGCATTAGAAAGGTTCCAGGACCATGGGCCAGCTGAGAAATAAACAAAATGAAAACAGTCTGTGAAGCGATGAAAAGGCTAGAGCAGCCTAAGTGAAATGTACACACTTACATAACTCACTGATTTCAAGGACAGTGACTGTGTTATGTAAGCACCTGACAGGGTCATTTACTCTTTGCTCACTATGTAGGTTTTAAAGAGTGCTCCCAAGGGTTGGGTTTTTTTTTCAAATAATATCTTGGACAAGAGATGATCTGGGGAGAAAAATAAAAAATAAGACTTTACGGCCAGCATTGCAAACAGGAAGGGATCTAATCGCAGAAACAGAACATCGCTTCAAGGAAAAAGGATTTTCATTGTTTTAACAAATTTTAAAAGACACCTGTACTCACTGTGTACCGTCTGCGATACAAGTAAATTAAGAACCTGGGCCCGCATACCTTTGTGTGCCTCAAACTCCCATTGAGATCACTGAGCATTTGACGTAAGAAGGAATACAGAATGAGACCCAAAGAATGTACAGTAAATTGGTCAGGAGCAGCCCTTAATACAAAACTTACTATTCTACAACAATGGGCCAAAACCAAGCTACTTGAATTGTTTTTAGCTTCAACATTTCCCAAAGAATTTGCCAGTGTTGCATTAAAATGTATTACCATTTTTCAACCATCTCTAGTCCATAATACTACATTGACATGGTTGTAAATTGCAGAGTTCTGAACTACCACTGCTAAATACTGTGGTTCGGTAGGGGTTTTCCAATATTCAGGGATTGCTCTATTACAAAAACTGGGCACTGTTTCACCAGAGTCTAAGCACCCTTAGTTCTGTCCCTTGAAGTCACTGGGAGTTGGTGACACTCAGCACTCCTGGCTTGAAGGAAGGTAGTAAGAAAGGAAGGAAAGAAAGGGGGTCGTGCTAATCTGGAATTAAATGGACTTTCAACAGCGAGTAGCATTTAGCACAGTCGGCCTCCATCCAACCCTTAATGCCCCTTTTAAATTGATCTTTTAAAATGGGAACCAATCAAGTTCAGGGGTGCTGCTTCCAACAGTAATTTCATAATTTTGTGGTAGTGAATTCCATGAGAGCTACTTATTTCTCCATAACACTGTGTGTAAGGACGTGTCTCTTGTTTTGCCTTCACGTTATCAATAGAACAAGTAGCATCTTTAATGTCTCTGCAAATCCATAAATATTTTCCCCTTTCTCTTTTAATTTTCTTTTTGGAGAATATGGAAATTATAACGAAGAGGATCCCCCATGCCCTTCCTTATGGTCCTTAAGCAGAGGACTGGAGTAAAGGGGCCTCACACTGTTCTAGCTGCATTCTCAATACACCATTTTTATGAAGAAACCAGAGCTGTAGAAACTCCTCTGGCATGGCATGGAACCCAGAATCAGGCAACACGTTGTCATAGTAATGATGGCTGATAAACCTCCCATGCAGGTCCACTGAAAAAGGCCAGAAGCCATAGATGGTTACTTCTTCGCACAGACCTAGGGCTGCACTGACAAGGAAGAGACCTGTTGAAAGCCGCTTGGCATGGATTCCTCTGCTCTTCCAAAACTTGCCAATGTCACGGAGGAAGTTGGGATTGGCAAAGAGCACTGTTTGGTTGGCACCAAAGTCCTCCAGGGTGTAGTAAACCCGTAGGGACGGCTCTGTCCCCGTCTTCATAGAGAAGGCTGGCATATAGATGTAGCTATGGTTATAGACTTTAACACTATCCACAAAGGTTTTTCTAGACCAAAGCAGATTCTGGAATCTGTGAAAACAAAAGAAAGGCATGGGGGTTACATATATTTTCCTGTTCATTTCAGAATCCAGCTCAAAGCTAACCTTCCTGTATTTTCAACTATGCATGGATTTTCTCTAGCCAACCGTGTGGACTGTTTCTGCCATCGTGCCTATCCATTCCCTTTGCTTGTTAACACTGGTCTCCTCTGTCCCTTTCTCCAGTGTCATCTGGACCTGTCTTCCTGTATGTCTCCATTCCAATTCTTCACTTCTTTTCAAATCTCATGTGAAAACGTACCTTTTCTCTCTTTCTTGTGCCTCTGAATTTCTCTGTCCCTCTGCTATTGTTTATTATTTAGCTCCAGGAGAAAAAATGGGTTTGCAGTTGAGGCACTGGACTGTGACTCAGGAGAGCAGAGTTTGGTTCTTAGCTCTGCTAAAGATTAGACTTCCTGTGTGACTCTGGGCAAATCACTGAGGGTGTGTCTACACTGCAATAAAGAACCTGTTACACCGAGTCTCAGAGCCCAGGTGAATTGACTCAGGCTTGCAAGGATTGGGCAGCAGGGCTAAAAATTGCAATGTCGATGTTCAGACTCAGGCTGAAGTCTAGGCTCTGAGATCCTCCTGCCTCGTGGAGTCTCAGAGCCCAGGCTCCATCATGAGCCCAATCATTGACATCTCAATTTTTAGCCTCCACAACCTGAGGCCCATGAGCCCGAGTCAGCTGACCCGGGCCAGCCATGGCCATGTTGTAGTGTAGATGCACTCCCAATCTCTGTACCTTAATTCCTCCTCTGTAACATAGGATACTTCTGTGCCTCCAAGGCTTTGTAAGGAAAAATCCATTATTGTTTGTGAGGCACTCAAGTACTACAACAATGAGGGACATAAGTCAGGTATAGGTATAACTGAAATATGAAAAGCATTTTGGGATAGGGTTTATACAAAAGAAATGAAAAATAAGCCAATATATTGTAGCAATGGGTTGTACCTGTTTAGAGAAGAATTAGATCCAGTCAATTTTTTTTTTTACCCTGTGAAAACTGACAAATTTTATTGAAAATTTTAGCAGAAAGTTAACATTTCACTGAAAATGTTTTGGTTTTTTAGCTGAATTGCCAAAAACTGAAGAGTTTTCAGTTTTCTAAGGGCGGGGATGAGGGGTGAGGATTTTTCAGGAAAACAGATATTTTCTTTTTATCCAAAACCCAATTTTCTGTCTGAAAACTTTTGGACAAAGAATTTTTTTTTTACCAGCCTTAGTAAAAATCCTTGTTGTTCTGGCTCCTTAATAGTGCTTAAAATTAAATTAAAAGGATCTCAGTCAGATTCTACATCAGCAGCAGTAAGAAATATTTATATAACCAAAATGCATATATAAAGCCAGAAGACATTGTTTGTTTCTGTTATATCTTTATGATTGCTTAAATATGGTGTTAGAGGTTAACATTCTGTTTCTGGAACTACATGGACTCTTAGGACCTAGCACTTAGCAAAAACAAGTTGCATGGAAACCAATGTGTTGTTTAGGATAAATGGCACCACAGACCAAACAGACAGAGCTGAACTCCAAATTAATGTACAAGATGGAGCAATGTTGTTAAGTGGGTTTAAAGGCCACTTATATTTCTAGATTACAAGTTAAGGAGCCAGAAAAAGGTACAAGTTAAAGTAAAAAGGCTCCTGTTGGCAGCTACCAGGATGGTTTAAAATGGTGTAGATTTTTATTCTGCTAAACCACTCCTCTGACCTTTTGGCATTAGACTTTTAAACCACTGACAAACACTTATTGATGAGTAAAGTTCACATCACCTTTGACTTCCACCCAGGGTATCTATTCCAAAGTACTATTCTTTGATGAAAAGTAACCTCTCTATACTGAGGAATTAAATACTTCCAGAGATGCAAGATGAATGGTGACTCTGGCAGGAAATTCTAGGTTAGTTTTGGATACTCGCATCCACTCACCATGGTTCACAGTGGCAAAGTACTGTTGTTTGACACTGAATAATGCCACTGAAATGCCCTACTGAGGCATTCTGACAGGTCAGGGACTTTTCATGGATGATATTCAGGACCCAGTGGAAAAACCTGTTTAATTACAGGAGTCACTTGCTTGGTGTGGGAATCTGTTCTGCACTGCTAGAATTCCTCCCTTCATCAGGGAGTCACCATAAACTCTTGATAACTTACATTTGCTCTCTCCTCAGAGTCATAGGCACCTAAGTTGTGCCAGTAAAAGATCTTGTCGTCTTTATTAGCATCCCATAGTGCCTATGTCTTGTCTTCTACATGAATTCTAATTGTCTCAGGACAGAGTAAATTTTTTTCTGCACATACGTCAGAGAAAGCAGCCCTAATATTACCTCCTTTTCTAACAGCTGGGTTATTTTCTCTCTCACGCACAGGCACCCTATATACATAAAAACTATTGCTGAAATTTTCTCAGAGGCAGAATTGATATTGTCATCTCTCTACCACTTATAGCACCCTACCCCTCTCAAACATTGAGCAGTCTTAAAAGTGTTATATTATATAGGAATGACATATCAGGTCCAATTTAATACTGGCATTGTATAAGACTCCGAACAGCAGAAAAACTAGGATTCCTGATTACTCTTCTTCACTCTGCCATGGATATACTGCAAATCACAATCTTTGTGCCTGAAAGATGGGTGTAAAAACATCTCCTTCACAAGGGTATTAAGAGATCTAATTTTGTGTAAACAGCTTTGGAATGAGAGGCACTACACGAGCATACAAACAAACAAACAAAACCCATTGGTCTGAATATGAAACTAGCTGACCTGGAGCAGTTGATTAACAGATCTTATCAGATAGGGCTACCTAAACATGGATCCTCCATGGGCACGAACATTGTGACTGCATTTGAGCCTAATTCTAAAAGGAAATCACTTTCTTTTGAGCATTTACCACTTAGTTGTTTGTCTAGCAATGGGGTTAAGCACAACCGAAATAAACAAATAGGACAATAAATTCATTGAATAACTTATTGCATTTGGCAGACACCGATAAAGCATGTAAAGATCAGCCAGGACTGAAGTATACTGGCAGAGGAGTGCAAAGCGGAGTTACATTTACCTTTACACACTGATGTGCACAATAATGATTTGTAAAAGCCAGTATCCAGTGCTATTAGTTCTTTGTTTTCATGAGTAAAGTGCAAGCCTCCCTGAATGAGGGTTCACCTGCTGCCCATGTGGAAAAGCAAGAATCCTGGCCAGTTTTGGAACATTTGGGCTGATATATTTTGAGGCAAAAAAAAAAAATTCCCCTTACAAGCACAAGCTCATGTAGGTAGAAGTGCAACCCCCCGATCCCAGTGCGAGCTTTGGGAAGCATTGCATATTGTCCATCCAGTATGCAGGGGAAACACACCTCCTGCTACAACCTCACAGGGGCAGAGTGTGCACTTCCCCAGCTCTCTGCTAGCCATTGCAGAGGGAGGAGTGGGGACATGTCTTCTCCCTGCTCCTTTTAGGGATTCTAGCAGCACCAGTGCTGCTAACCTAGCGCAGGCGTTGAACTCAGGTGAGCCCAAGAATGCATTTGTGGCCAGTCCCTGCACACCCATGAGGAACTGGCCACACATTCTGGCCCTCTCCATCTAAACTGCACCAGATACAATAGGGGCAGCAAGGTTGGCAAACGCTGACTGAGACTCCTGATATAAACAAATGGCTTCATTGTTTACCTCTGCAACACTTGGATCTAACAAAGCAGGGCCAGCTAGGGATTAGCTTATTTCCCAACCAGCTATGCAGCTCCTCCCCTTACACAGCCACCCACTGTTGTTACTTTCTCCCCCAAATGGCAGCTCTGACTTCAGCATCAAAAAGGTAAAACATCATATCAAGAGCTGGAGATACAGCTGCACCATTGGAAGGGCTGAGCTTTCACACATGCCCTACCCAAGTATGATTCAGCACTGAACAAGAGCAACCGCTTCTGGGGTCAGCAGATGTTTCAGTCTCCATACACATTCAATTCTTGACTCCTCTGCTGGAATTTCTATATGAATGGAACCCCTGCTTTCTCAAAGCTGCCTACCTTCCTAAGGATGGAGTTGGAGTTTTCCTGTGCATTAGTTCTTTTAGAACCACCTTCCTTGACAGTGGTGAAAGCATGCTGTACAATCTCTCTCTCCATGTGGTTAAGCTGCCAAGCTTCCTCCTCAAGAACTTGTACAGTCAGTACTTCCCTGGAATTGCTACAGCTAGATCATCATCACCTTTAATATAGACAAAGGAAGGATGGGTGAGCCATGAGGAGCTGGAGGTTTTTCAAATCTCAAACGATCCTGACTTTGGCAAATCACTTTGAGTTCAGAAACCTTTCTCCCACCTCTGCTCTACAGCCAAAATGCTTCTGAAATAAATGTAGTCAAACTTTACTAATTCTGGGTCACTGAGAACAAAAATGATGCTTAAAATTGTTGATTTGCTCTAGTTTTCAAGATATGCTATTGGGTCAGTATATACGACCCTTGACTTGGGAATGGCGGAGGATAAGTGAGATATAAAGGGAAGGGATCTCAATTTAAACCAGAAATGACTAAAATACATCTTTGACTGGATCTATGAATAAATCTATGACTGGGTTTGGATAGTACTTGCTTTTTAGGCAAAACAATGAATGATGCAATCTGAAGCTGGTATTGCGTCATACATATGAATTGCATCATGTTATTCCTAGAAGTCATGGATGATGCAATCATAAAGAAGCTTACATCACTCTGCTGAACAAATTGCCCTATGTCAGCTCTAGAAATCATACAGTGTTGCAATGTCATGCTCTCTTATTTGTCAGTGTTTGATTTTGCAAAGGGACA